AATGCCTGAACGAAGCAAACAGCAGGAGCTCTGAATGAGATGCAGATTCACTCTCTGACAGCAGGAGGCGCTTCTGGAACACCACATACGGCGTTTCCTTGGTTACCGCTGTAAACGAAGCAGCACTGCGCTGAAACTGCTGTAATATGAACTATACATTACATTACATTACATTTATGCATTTAGCAGACGCTTTTATCCAAAGTGACTTACTGTGCATTGAGGCTAAAAAATTGTTTTACCAGTATGACTATACATAACTATAGTATAACTATACAGAAGTCTTTGAGGAGACATGAAAAACAGCGCATACCGCAGGAACGGTATAACGGAAAATATTAGCGGTTTTGAAACAGTGAAATTTTCAAATCGCGGTATACCTTGAAACCGGTAATCGGCCCATGCCTATTGTAGACGATACATATTGCACATCCCTGCACACAATGAGTTTGTACCTCACAATTGCTAATTTATTTCTTATAATTGTGACATTTCTAAATGTATTCTCAGTAGGATTTTTATTTTTTTTAAGTCTTGTTTTTTCTCTATATATTTTCTCTATATATTGTAAGGTAAAACAAATACCTTGTACATCTTTTATACAGTACCTTTGTGTTGTTTTGTTTTTTGGCCCTGGTATGAACAGGCCATAATTATGCCGTTTGGCATGGATGGGCTGTTGGATTGTGTCCAGGGACATAAACTGTCATGTCTCAATCATGCATTTTAAAAGAAGCATGTGTATCTTTCTTTCAGGCACGGAGTGCAGAAATTCCAGAGCTGAGCTCTGAGCCTCTCATGCGCTCTTGCAGCAGCACCGCCAGCATGAAGGTGAAGAACGTCAAAAAGTAAGTGTCAAACATTCACACAGCCAAAGTCACTAAGGCTTATGCAGAATGCTGTTTGTCCATCACTCACTGACTAGCTCTCATGTTTATAATAGCTGAATATTGAACTCAGTGCCCTGTGATCTTTTCAGACTCTCATTCACCAAGGGCCATTTTCCAAAGTTAGCTGAATGTGCCCACTTCCACTATGAAAACGTTGACTTTGGGACAATGCAGGTAAGATCCTAAGCCCTTAATAACAGTGAACTTGCTTCAACTACAGAATGGATCTCAGTGACCGAACTTGAAAAGGACAGTGTTGAAAATAAGGCACATGGGAGATTAAATTCTGATGTGCATGCGTGTTTGTGCAATGAAATGTCAGGGGTGTGCAGATAACCCCAAAGTGCCACAGCTGGGAGAGGGACAGCAGCGCGTCTCTAATGCAAGGCTCCAGGGGATTGAAAAGTGAGGATCAACCAGATTTAATATCACTACAGCAGCAGTAGCACTCTTGCAGATGACTATTTGCCAACTACTTCACAATACAATACACATCGCAATACATATGTCACGATTCAATCGTGATGCATCACTGTATCATAATTGGATCTCAATTGAAACTGCGCCAAAAGCGTGACAAAAAATCTCAGTGTGACGTCGAGAGAGTGTGAATCTGCGGTATCAGTTTCAATCTCTTCACTTTTGTCCAGTATTGTGTCTCACACTGAGAAACACCAGTTTTAGAGTTTGCACTTTAGGTGACATGATCTCTAAATGTAGGAAATTATATTAATAAATACATGATATATATATATATGAAAACTGTGAGATTTATATAAAATAAAAAAATAAATGGGGAATTCATGACATGAGGCACTGTTTAATATACTTGTATTAAATTAAATATATATTAAATTTTAAAAGTATCATATATAAAATTAAACGAAACGAAAAGGTTGATTTTTTTTGGTTGGGTCTTGCTTTTTTTAATTCTCAATGCCTCTAGCATGACTCTATTGCATTCTATTACATTATGTTGAGCTCCATCTAGCTGCAAAAACATGTCTAAATCTAAAATGTATTAGCATTCAATTGTGATGAAAACAAATGATTATTCAACACTGAAAGAATGCACAGGGTAAAAATGAACTTGCAAGATATTTAATACGATACGCAAACTTTCTGCAAATACTTCTGTAAATTAGTTTTAAAAACCTATGTACATAAGTTTAATTTAAAGGGGGGTGGGGTTGTGAAGCATATGACTTGTTGTGAAATATGACTCGTGAAGCATATGACTTGTGTTCCCTGAGAAAAAGGGTGGGAACCACTAGGTTAGAGTAGTGTGACAGCTTAGGTCAGCGCTGTACATGGTGATTTTCGGTCTGAGACAGTAACAGAGCTCAACACTCTGGGAAGGATTAGAGGGCATTTACAGGACATGTTCTCTCTTTCAAAAACAGGTAGACAGGGCACAGATGGAACCAGAATAAGTATTTTTAACTTGACTACATCTAAAAACATGACTGTGCTAGACCTGAAGCAATGACGCATTTGTACATAATGCCCAGTGTACCTGATCCTATTTTCGACATTCATTCTTTTGAAGTGGGAAAGAAAATTTTACTTATCTGTATTTCAGACTAGGTGAGTAGGTTCGGCTTCTTCAGTGTCTTTTCAGAATTGCTGTTCCCTTTCACATATTTTACATTTCTCATTATAAACTGTATCAAGGCTCGGTGAAAGCCTAAAAGGATTGGTGGGAATGCTGAATAGCGCCTAGTTGTATAGGGACAGGAGGTGGGGTGGTGCGACAGTGTCGGAGATCTCTGTGCCTCTGTGTTTGGGATTAAGGGTATAATGGAGCGCTCACAGAATGAGAAAATAGATTGGCATGGTGTCGAGGGCCAGACAATTGGGAGGGAGTGAAGCTGTGGTTTCTTCAGGGGGCCTTCACACTGAATAGTAATCCTGCTTTGGAGGAATTGCCCTGGGAATGCCGAAATATGAGACAGTTTTTTCGCATTCAGATGCTGCAGCGTCGAAATTTCTGTATTACTGTTTATGGATTATTGTTGTTTTAACACTGTGTAAACCATCATATAGATACAGCAGGTTGTAGCCTGCGCTGGTGTCCAGTAGAGGGCGTCAGCTTCTTTCGTTTACCAGTTTGCAGACCATGTAACAGGATACCATGGCGACGATGAAGAACATCAATAATTCTCTTTACTCTGCAACATAATCATGGTTTATGCACAAAACACAACAAAATCTGGAGAAGTTCTGCAGCCCTGAATGAATGAGTCTGTGGTTGCACAACAACAGCTGGCATGGATACATCAGCTGTGTTTGCAGTGTTCCTACCAGAACCCTGCATGTCATCCTTCTGCTGGTGATTTATGGATGGTTGGTAATTACAGGCAGATCACTGACTGATACTCCCAAAAGAGCAGCAGAATGACTGGGTTTCTCTGCATTCAGAAACCGCTCCAGAGAAACACTGTTGTCCACGAGCCTTTTGTTGAATATGTTGCCATGAACTGATCAGTATCATATTGGTTATCAGGGAGTTTGTGTGTATATATGTATATGTAAATCTATATAGATAGGTAGGTAGATAGATAGTTAGATATTTGTTGATATATGTATTTTTTGATATTAGACATTTGTGCATGCTCATCATTTTCCAAATTTTTACATTTTGACAAGTTCACTTAATTAGGGATGCACAATATGCTCTATTGTACAAAGTTAAATTTTTTTGTTTGAATGTTTTTGAAGGAACTCTCTAATGCTCACCAAGGCTGCAATTATTTGATCATAAATACAGTGAATACAGTACAAATATAATTTATTCCTATGATGGCAAATCATTTTCTGCAGCCTGTATTTCAGCATTTTAACATTACTTCAATCTTCAGTGTCACTTGATCCCCCAGAAATCATTCTAATATGCTTATTTGCAGCTCTAGACATTTCTTCTTTTTAATTAATGTTGAAAACCGTTGTGCTGCTTAATATTTCTGTAGTTCAAAAAGAACAGAATTTTACTTTACTGTCACTTTTGATTCTTGTTAAATAAAGGTATTTAAAAAAAATTACTAACCTCAAACTTGCAAACAGTAGTGTATCTGTACAATTTATTTTCTTTTTGATTGATAACAGTTAATATCCAATATATATTTGTACATGCTAATTTCCACAAGATTTGCATTTGCCCTCATCTTAAGTGATCTACCGATTACATAGTCTTTAAGTTGATCTTTAAAGACACTTTTAAATGTAATCTTTAGCCAATCTCAAAATGAATATTCATTTTTATATTGTACATTATAATGTTGTGAGGCCTCAGTTCACTTGCATTTATATAGAAATAGTGAATAGAATTGTATTCTCAGTGCATTTTCTTAATAAATTTGTATCCTTGTTGAAGCTGTTGCCTATATTAAAGTGTGCCACTAAGGGAGGGCTTTATGCCCCCCACTGCTAAACATTTAGCAATAATCGCTACATTGCTCACGTGGCATTGACCCTTTTGTCTGTAGCATCACTCATTGATTTTATTACTGTTGCACTGCTGTACATTGTTATACGACATTGCTTTTAGCAAAACATGGTTTAGATTTTCCTAAATGCTTTATTTTTGTGCCTTGCACTGCTTATGTTGCTTGACATTAAACAGCTGTGGTTTAATACACCGGAGGTGACTTTGTATTTAACATCTTAATTGTTGTTGGATACGGTGGCCAATTGTCTGTTGGTTTATGCTCGCACACAATGGAGGGCCTGTCTTCTGGTTCCTTTCATTGCCGTTGCTCAGCCCTATACCGCAGTGTGTGGTAACTGGCACCGTCCACTCACCACAGCCAGTTGAAGACAAAAGCACTACTTAGATTCAATTACAGATATGACTTAAGTTCACCAGCCGCTGAAAATGCACAAGAATACCGCTCGGGACGACACGTGTATGTTGTACCAATGTTCTGAGACTGGTACCGGAGGAAATAGTTTCCATAGGCACCCCTCCCTGCTGGTGAATGTGTAAAGGCAAAGGCTGTGTTTTAGTGTGCCACTGTCCCTTCCCCCATTTTCTGCTCCAGGCTCATATAGCTACTCTGTATACTCTCTGGATATATGACCCTCGACCCAGAGCTTTCATTGGGTCGGTCCTGTGCCAGAGAATGTGCTCAATGCCCAGCATTCGCCGTGGTCCATCGTGCCTCTCTTTATAATGTATGCTTGGTTGTCTCATATCAGTTACACCTGCTGCATTTTTAGAATATTAAATAGTCTTGGTTAGACTCTAACCAAAAAGTTTTTCATATGCAGCATGGATATGGGAAGCCTATTAGCTGGAGTACATGACATATTTGTATACGTTCATTGGCTGATTTTTATCGTAGACTAATGCTCTCTTAAAGTTGTTCTATATACAAAAAAATAATAATAATAACATCTAATAACACTGGAAATTTACCATATTTCCAAATGAATATCGATTTTTCATTCTGTACATTATAATGTTGCAATGCCTTAATTCTCTTATACCTCTTTTTTAGTTTTTAGTATCAGTTGTTTGTTTTAATTTTATTTATTCATTCATTAATTCAAAATGGTAATATTAGCTAATGCCAGTTATCGGCCATAATATGCAAATTATTATTCCGTGAAATACATTATCGGCCCAGATTTTAATATTGTGCATCCCTACTTGGGGCTAAAATGATCCCCTGCTGAAAGAAATCTGGTCATACTAGCTAGTCAAGAAACCGTCTCAGGTTACGTATATAACCATGGTTCCCTGAGAAGGGAATGAGACACTGCATCCTCTAGTGGTCGCTTTGGAGAGGACTCAGTGCGAAGTTCTCTCGGAAGGGAACGTCTCCAGTTACATACGTAACCATGGTTCCCTGAGAAGGGAATGAGACACTGCGTCCTCCCCAAAGCGACCGCTAGAGGACGCAGTGCGCAGTTCCCTTGGAAGGGAACCAACTAAACTAGTTAACCTGTTAACCCGCACCTGGACGCCGGCTCACTGAACGCTCTTTGTTTGCACGTGTTAATGTTTACAAATAGATTAAATGAATAGGGGCATAATTTATCTTGACAAACTATATATCATTCTAAAGGTCTAAGCCTCAAGCATCGATGATAGATTGGTGTTTTTCAATGGAAAGCTTATAATGTATTTGCTAAATTTGTGTAAGCAATACACATCAAAACATGCATACTAA